AGCCCACGATAGACACACGGACCACCAGAAATCAGTGAGTTATAGGAAACACACTCTTTATTCAGCCAGCTGGGTCTGCCAAGGGTACACAGACCCCAAATTAAGCAGCCCTGAAATGTAGAGGTACAGGGTTTTTAAGCCCTAAGCCCCTATTCTTCATCCTGTTTTAACACACAAGTCTATTTTTCTTCTTTTTACTAACTGTCAACCCACAGGTCGGTTGTACAAGTGGAGGGTACAGAAGCAGAAAGCTTATTGTTAGAGTGTTATGTTCCCATGGGCGATAGCCAAACAGTAACTTTCCAGCCACCACAAAAATAGACTTAAAACACCAATAATATTTTTCTAGATTTTGTTACATATATTAGGTCTGATGATATAACTGAACTGTAAGAAATCAGAATCTAGTATAGAGGAATAAATACAATATTTAGAGCCTACGATGATATGCGCTTTCTTATACAGATTTATTAGGCATTTACTATGAAAGCATAAAGAACTTTCTATTTTTGTAGCAAGTACTACTAACTTGCTATGTTACTTCCTATGCACTATTATGTAAATAGCACTCTTCGAATAAGAACATCTTTTAAAATTTTTATTTAATACATGTATAAAATGTATAGACTTTTCCAAGGAATCTAATTACTTTCCCTGGCTCATTCTACTCTAGTTACTCTGACTTCTCATGTCTCATGTATTCTTACCTTGGAGTCTATGTAACTACAGATCCTTCTACTTAAAAAATCTCATTTAGATTAATCTTTAAATGTTACTTCTTTTGAAAGACCTTCTCAAGACACCTTACTAAAATTATGATTCTCTTTCCAGTTCTATCTGCTTACCCTTTTCAATTTTCTCATAGCATTATATAACAATATACCATATAGTTGTTCATTTTCTGTCTTGCAGCCACCCTTTAATATACAAGCTCCACAAAGGGCATTTTTGTTCACTGCTTTATCTACTAGATAAAGGCTAGAACAGAATTTAGTACATCATAGGCATACAATAAATATTATTTAAAAAGTAAATGATGGAATGTTTATCATTTTAGGAGCTATAATTTTTCATAAGTAGTATACTCATTTAAAATCAGAAAACCTGGCTTTGACTCTGTGACCTCCTACTACTAAACACATTAGAACACATTACATAAATTTTCTGAGTTCTTTTTAATCTCTTACTTTAAATGATCAACTCTAACACCATGTACAGTAATTTCTTTTACCTGAAATGTTTAAGTGTTCCAACCCTCAATGACTGCTCTTTTTCTTTCATTACTAATAAAACTATTGTTCAATATGCTGCATACTTCTACACACATTATAATAAACAGTATTTTGAGTGCTTGCTTTAGTAGCACATATAATAATAGTATTTTAAAATTTATTTAACTTTTATATTTGTTTTTTTTCCTGAATAGAGTCTCCACATTGAGAAGGATTAATCTTATTTTTTAATTAAATAGATTAATTCAATGGATCAATTTCTCTATCCTCAGACCACCATTAATAAAAATACCTTAGGCATTTAATTGGGATCTAACATTTTGTGGTGGTGGATTGAAGTTTCTTCCTTTTCTTTAAAAAATAAGAGCACATGGATGCTTGAAAAACTGTCAATCATCTCTTTACTTTCGTTTTATATAATTTACCTAATACACAAGGGCAAAAAGGCAAAAAGTAGTGTTCTGTCGGTAGTTTAATTAAAATTTCTATACTGACTATATCTTTCAGACATTCCACTTGGATTTTCCTTCAACTGGCAAAACTCGACCTACGCAGACCAAGTATCTTCTCATTTAATCGATTCTTTTTCCTTTTCCAAGTGTCATGGTCCTTTACTCCTCCTTATGAATTATAAGCTTTTCTTAGCTTTCTCTTTTGTCTCAGAAATTTTCTAGCCTCTAACACAATTAGATTGCTCCCTTTTCTCTAGGGTGTGAAGAGAGATAGGAGAACTTCAGGCCTCAAAGATGGATCAGAATAAAGGTCTACTACTGTGATGCGGGGGTAGGAACAGAGAGGTAGTTTATCTTGTTTCCTGTCTTGACATTAGGTAAAACAAAGAAACAAAACAGGAAATTTTTTTTCTCATGAAGTTATAAATGTCAATATTCACATAATCTTTATGGACTTATTTTGCTAGAAGAGTGTTTTTCCTTGTCCTTAATTCATTTAAAAACCATTTTCTGTCCCCCTTTCCAATGTTGACAAAGACAAGGATTATAAGCTCTATTCATAAGTATAACCTTGTCAAATAATGTGTTCTATGTAGAATAAATTCTTGATGTTGATAATAATGAAAATTAAAAGAATAAAGTTTATTTATAAAACTAGCTATTTTTATTTAGATAAGCTTAATATTGTTCCTTCTTATAATTCTAGTTTTACTTTTTTCCCCATTTTATTCAAACTTCATAAAATCCATTCACATCTCCCCTCCATTTTAGTTCCATCTCCACAGTGGAAAAGTAGAACTTTTAAAATTTATATTTTAATATACATTTATTTATATTTAATTATGTCTTTTTAAAAAAAAAACAGTCATTTATCTTATTTCTGACAGCTTTTTCTCTTGACTTAAACTGTGTAATGTGTCATATTTTAGAAAGCACTTTACATGTTCTCTCTAATCAGAGCCAGAATAGTACTATTATCCTCATTTAACAATTGCTCATTTAACATTTAACAATTGACAAGAGAAGCTAAAACATATATCTTAGTTCACAGATTAGAGTGGCAGTGATAGAATTAAGGTCTTCTGCCCTATTCTTCAATGTTATCTTTATTGTATCAAAAAGTCATTCTGGAATGATACAACAAAATTTTCCAGTATTGTATACTCAGGAGCTATGTAAAAGAAGGCATTCAGTAAAGACTGCGAATTCTATGGTTTAGTATGAACTTTATATAAAATTCTATAAAAGGCAAAACCACAGTTTGCTTTCCAGAAGATTGATGATTGCTTAGAAGCAAGGGTGAGGGCACAGACTGACTGCTAACGGGCACATGGGGGCTCCTGTGGTGATGGGAGTGTTCTAAACCCTGACAGTGGTTGTAGTTAAATGACTGTTGCTCCCAATCTCTTGAACTGTACATTTAAAAATTTTAGATGTTTATTATACCTCAACAGAACACAAAAGATAAACATTGTCAGAAGCCTGTTGCCTCTGCATCAGTAAGATAAATATACACTGTTTTATTTAATTTATTAGCCATGATGCTTAATTAATTGAGATTTTTTAATGCTTTGCTTTTAATTTTTTATTTATTTTATTTATTTTTTATTAAGTTTATTGGGGTAACATTGGTTAATACAATTATGTAATTTTCAGGTGTACATTATAATTTGACATCTATATATTCTATTGTGTGTTTACCAGCCGAAGTCCAGTTTCCCTCAGCTACCATATATTTAATCCCCTTTATCCATGTCACCCTCTCCCTCCCCGCTATATTTGACCCCTTTTACTCAGTCTACCTCCCCCCTCCTCCCCTACCCCCTACCCTCTGGTAACCACTAGTCCATTATCCATGTTCATGAGAATGCTTTGCTTTTAAATCTCTTGTTAACCAACTGGTTTCAGGCTGAGTAAGTTGTTAAAAAAGTGCAGAGCCATGTGTTTTTCTCCCATCTGACCAGATGTACTAATCACTACAGCACGGTTGTGTTATCTAGAACATGGAATGAGGTCACATTCCTCCCTGGTGAAGAGTATATAGCAAATTACTTAAAAAGGTACCTGGCATTTAATGCCTAATCCTTAAGATCAGTTTATATTAAAACAACAACAACAACAACAACAACCAAGAAATGCTTACTTATCACAAGAGGACATGACCAGTTCTTTTGGTTAACAATTTTCTATATGTGCAGGCATATACATTTTAAAATAAGAAAGCACGAACATATTGGACAGTGGGTTGAAGCAACATAAATGAAAAGATTTTAAGAGATAAAACATATGCATAAATTTGGGTTCTTTTTTCATGGATTTTTCTCATTTACAGCCTTGTAAATAAAAACAATGATTTTCCCTCACTTGTTACTATCTGTTACATTAATGTTAGTATTACGTTAAAAATTATTATGGAAAAATATAAATATATATTAAAAAACAGTATCATAATACACCTCCATGGATCCTATATCCAGTTTCAAAACAGTCAATATATCTTTTTCTTAAGACTATACCTACTTTACATCCCACATCTTACTCTAGATATTTTTTGAGCCAAATCCTAGATATCATATTATTATATCCAAGATCCTTCAGTATGTATCTATAAAAGACACTTTAAAAATCATAATCTCAATATTTTCATCAGTCCTAAATTAAGTATAATTCTTTATGTTATGAAATACACAATATCTCATAGTACTTTTAACTTATAGTTTGTTTGTTTGAATTAGAAAACAAAGTACATGCAATGCATTTTATTAGTATGGTTTAAACTGCTTTTAATTTATAAGCTTTCTATTCCTTTTTTTCTTATAATTTATTTAGTCAAAAAACCAAGATCATATCCTATATAATTTTGCATATTCTGGATTTTGCTTATTGCATCCCTTTGTATCACTTAAGATGGTCTGCATACCACTTTATTTCCTATAAAAACAAATTACATTTAGAAAGCTGATCAAATTTGTTCTATTGTTTGATAATAATACTTCATAAGATGAATTATAATCTTCCTATTGTATCACATCAAGAGGTACATCATGCCCAGCTTACATTCTTTTTGTTCTTACTGATACTGATCTAACCAGCTAGCTTTTTAATATTTTTGTATCAATATGAAATCAGAATGAACTGATAACAATATTTTTACTGAAATTAAGATTATCAAAATAGTTTAAAATGTCCGTGTACTTTTTAATTTTATTTTTAATTTTTTTTTACATCTATTTATTTTTATTGTAGTAAAATATACATAACATAAAATTACCATTTTAACCATTTTTTAAAATAGAAATGCTGCATTTCTATTTTTAGAAATAGAAAATGCTTCATTAATTTACATGTCATCTTTGCACAGGGTCCATGCTAACCTTTTCTGCATCATTCCAATTTTAGTATATGTGCTGTTGAAGCAACACCTTGTATGTCTTTATCTTTAGGATATATTTGAATATCTGGATTGCTCTATATTACAAATACTGTATCTTAAAATTCTATTAATGACTAGATCTGATGACCTTCAAATCTTTTTCATTACAACTATGTTTCACTGTTTTGTCATTTGTCTATGTGTTTGATTATATTTATTTGTCGGAAATATTTTTTGGACAAATTATAGAACTAAAATGATTAATTTCATCCTTTATTGATTATATTTTGTGAGTCATAGTTAAGACTGTTATCCCCATTTTCAAATTTATAGATAAATTCATATGTATTTACTTCTAATACTTGCATATATGTGTGAAGATAACTTTGTCTTTTCTTCACATAGCTCTGCCATTTATCCAACACTAATTATAAATGATATTTTTTTACTTACTGATTTTTGATGCTGTGTTTATAATATATTGAATTTTCATTTAGAAATACTATGTCTATTTTCAGATTTTCTATTCTGGTCCATTTATATTCCAATATCTTATTCTTTTAATTATAGAGGACATAAAATACATTTTCTATGAGGGGTGGCTAGAACACCCTTTTTGTGGTTTTCATGATTTCTCTATTTTTGCTTATTTGTTCCTTCAAATAAACTTCATAATTAACTTTTCTGGTTCAAGAAAATATAAAGATTTTTTTATTGTGATTATGTTAAAATTTACAAATTGAAGATTTTTATTGATATGCAGGAGCATCATTGGTTTATGGATTCCTTTAGTGCAATTAAGTTCTGTAATCAATATTCACTCATCTTATAATAAAAATTTGGAAGGTTTTTTAACCCTTTTGTTTATTCTTTAAAATAGTGTAATTTTTGCTTGATTTTAAAATTTATTTTTTCTATTTTTTATTGTTTATTTCTTTTACTGTATCATTTATGATACCTATTAATTTTCATTATCTATTTAGACTTATCTTCATTCCTGAAATTACTTTAAATTTATTTCTAAATCATTCTGGAACTCAGTGAGCTTCATTTTCAAACTCTCTTTAAATCTCATAATTTTAATCTTTCTATTTATTTTCTATTTCTGGTTTATGCTTTCATGTCTTAATTTCATCTAGTTTATTTTGAAATATTAAGCTACAAGTTAAAAATTTGGGGGAGGTGATCCTATATTTTCAATATGTCTTCACTGAAAGATGTCTATTCTGCTCATAATTTTCTTTTTACCTAAAATGACTTGATATAAAATTCAACCACAATTCTATTGCATTATGAGTGTTTATACAAGATGGATTTTTTTGTATTTTTAAAATTATCTTCCCATGTAGGGGAATGTGCCAAGAGAACTTTCAAAGCTTTATGGCTGAGACCTTTCTTCACTGTGAAGCATCAAAAAGTTAGTTCGAGTACTGCCTAAGAACAGTCTCCTTCATTTTTCTTTTTTTTTACTCTTATGAGAATATTTTCTTTCTCTTTTCCTTTCTCCTTTTCTATATCCCGTGCCTCAACTCTATCTTTTTGCCCCATGGTATCTCTGTCCTGCTTAATTTGTATTCTATTTCCAAAACTTTCTCTTTGCATAGACTTTGTCCTTGAAGGAAACTTTGGCTAGCTTGTTTCAAGATTTTACGACACCCAGACAACCTCAGCACTATCTAACTTTCCTGAAGTCCCTTTTGAAATTCATCCTTACAAAGGAGACAGCAAGCCTCCTCTGCTGTTCAACTGTTTTTCTCAGATAGTTATACCTGGCTTCTACTCCACAGTGTCTTCTCTAGCTTTCTGAATAAATTATTCTTAGCCATCTGGGTTTACCAGCATCACAGCTATCAGAAATCTTTTTGTCTTCTTTCTACTGCTTCTTGCACGGTTAGTTATATACAAAGGTGTAGGTAGTTTGGTACATCTCAATGGAATTTTGTGGTTTGAAAGAATATCACTTTGCTACTTGTTTTAAAATACTTTATTTAATTAATTCATTTATTTAGTGCTTTATCACATTCATTACTATATCTGTTTTGTTGAGAGATTCAAGACAAGTACATCGCTACTATATTAACAGCATATTTTTAATGGACTTTATTTTTAGAGCATTTTAGGAGCACAGCAATATTGATCAGAAGGTATAGATTGACTTTTACATGTTAACCCAGTATCCTGAAACTTTGCTATAATCACTTATTAGCATCAGGGATTTCAAATTTTCTACATAAATAACCATGTCATCCATAAACGAAGACAATTTTACTTCTTCTTTCCCAATGTATATATTTTTATTTCCTTTCCTTGTCTTATTGTTACTAGGATATCCAGTACAATGTTGAAAAGAGTAGTAAAGGGGACAGACAGCCTTCCTGATCTTAATGGTAAAGTTTCACGTTTGTCACTGTTAAGCATGATATTGCCATAGGTTTTTGCAAATATTCTTTATCAATTTGAGAAAGTTCCCTTCAATTCTCAGTATACTGAGTTTTGATCATAAATGGAGGTTGGATTTTGTCAAATGCCTTTTCTGCATCTATTGATATGATCATATGATTTTTCTTCTTTACCCTATTTAATGTGATGGATTACATTAATTGATTTTCAAATGTTGAACCAGCCTTGCATACCTAGGATACATCCCATCTAGTCATAGTGTATAATTATTTTTATACATTGTTGGCAGAGTCACTCATATTATTCCTTTATTATCCTTTTAACGTCCATGGGCTCTATAGTGATGTCCTCTCTTTTATTTTGTATATTAGTAATTGGTGTCCTCTCTCTTTTTTTCTTAGTTAATCAAGTTAGAGGCTTATTGATTTTTACTGATCTTTCCAGAAGACCAGTTTTCACTTTCATTGATTTCTGCTCTAATTCTTATTATTTCTTTTCTTCTACTTACTTTAGATTTAATTTGCTCTTTTTTCTAGGATCCTAAGAGGAAGCTTAGATTATCGAATTTTTAACTTTCTTCCTTTCTAATATATACAGTTAATTCTATAATTTTCTCTGTAAGCACTACTTTCACCATATCTCACAAATTTTGATGTTATGTTTTCTTTTCTATTTGGTTCTAAATAATTTTAAACTTTTCATAAATTTCTTTTTCGAACTCTGTGTTATTTAGAAGGATGTTACTTATTTTTCAAGTGTTAATGGAGTTTTCTAGCCATTTTTCTATTATTGATTTCCTATTAATTCCATTGTGGTCTGAGAGCAGATGTTGCATGATTTCTATTCTTTTAAATTCATTAAGGTGTGCTTTATAGCTCAGAATGTGGTCTGTCTTGGTGAATGTTCCATGTAAGCTTAAGAAGAATGTGTATTATTATCAGCATATTTTTTCTATTTCTTTTATTGAAAAAACTGTACTCTTCTCTCCATTAGTCAGACCTTCCTGTACCTAGTAAAAAAATGCACTAAAAAATTGAAACAAAAGTATCCATAATCTACTCTGAGTTTCTGAATTAATAAGGGTACTTTTAGCATATGCAGTATTCATAAAATAAATCTTGAAATCTCAGTGGAATAACACAATAGGATTTATGATACTTATTTATATACAGTCCAGACTGGTGGTTGTTTTCCTTGACAATTGTCCTCTAAGTGACTCAAAAATCATTATGTCATAATAATCATAATCATATCAAGACTTTTCAGAAGGCAAGAGTGGTGATGAGATTTTTATAGAGCCTTGTCTCATGTCATTTCTACTCATTCTCTCTTTGCCACAATTGGCACAAATCCCACAGCATGGGAGTTGGAAAATATTGAGATGCTTGATAAGTAGTACATATCTATGCCATATTCTTCACTTGGGTTAGGAAATTTTACTTTCTTCCATCTGCAGAGTTGCTTCTATTACATTTAGACAGTATTTAACACCTCAAGGGAAGCCTTTATTCCATGAATTTTAAGAATTAAAAAAAAAAAAAAAAGCCAATCTCAGCTCTGCCCATGATAGCGTAGATGCTATAGTACTTACTCTATGCAATTAGTCACTGTGGGAAAAAAAAAAAAATCTATGTACAACAATTCGAGCAGACAGTGGAGGAATTTACAATACAGGTTGAGAGTACTTGAAAGAAGGAAGCACATAGAAATTAAATTAAAATGAAGCCTCAGGCTTTCATCCTGGCTTTACCTGTGAGAGCATTGCTGAAATCACAATATAGGTAAATAGAATTCGAAAAGAAGATGACAGTATCACTGGATGGAAAAAACAATATCACAGTTCATTGTTGCTATGGTGACTTGGGGTTTAGAAACAAAGATTCAAAAAGGTAGGCATAGCAGAGAAGGAGCCATGATATGGTATAAAAAATTATTTCTGTGTCTTTGGCTCACTGAAAAGCTATGCACAGAAAGTATTAAATTTCAGGATGTCTAGCAGAGAACAACTACAGGGAATCAGGATAGATTTCGAGTAGATACATTGTTCTGCAGAACTATGGAGTTTAAGCCCAGTTATAGGTAACCTTGGTGATTTCCCAAGGCTTTCAGTAGAGAAATGAAAAAAAACATACTTTAAAAATAAGGACCAAAATCTAGAATTAAGGCACATGCTCTCAAAGTAAAAGATATGCCCAGGAGAAATAGAAGGCAAAATTGTCCATTGTCTCTACAATGTATTATGTCCAACATATGACATAAAATTACTAATTATATGAATAAAAACAAGTTATAAGTAATAAAGTGATACAATAGTCTATTATAAGAACAGGCCCAAGAATGATACAAATACTACAGTTAGCCAATAAGGACTTCAACTTATCTGTAGTTCACATGTTACAGAAGAGAAAAAGAATATCTATGTGAATTAAAAGATGAATAATATTAATAGAATATTCATATATTTATAAAGAAAAATCAGGTGGAGCTAATGGGTATGATTCAAAGCAGACTAAACATAGGATAGGCTATATACTGGACTCAGAGAAATATCATTAGAAAAGATATGCAAAACAAAACACAGAGAGAACAAAGAAGACAAATTAAATAAAATAGAATAAAAGATAATGTGGAAATAGGTCAAAAAAGGGT